TCTCTCTCTCTCTTTCCAAGTGTCTTTGTAAAATGTGTATGTATGTAAGGACAGAGAGAGCAAAGATGAGATTATGACTCAAGATTTAGATCTAACTCCAAAGCTGTAGAACCACAATTGTATCTCCTATGAAACTCCTTAAAAAAACAGCAGTTATGTTTGTTTTCTTTCAACAGGGAGAATCTTGCTAGTGACATGTATCTCATATCACAGATGGATAGTGATCAATATGTGCCAATTACTACGGTAGCTAACCTTGACCATATCAAGAAACTCAGTACTGATGTGGATTTGATTGTTGAAGTGCTAAGATGTAAGTAAATAACAATTTTAAATGAATAAAACTGGTCTTTATACCATTGCTGGTCGTGTGAGGCTTTATGCTTATAGCCATCTGATAATATTTGCTGTCAGTTCAAGCCATTCCTGGCTTTTCCTTCCTGTCTTATATGTCCACATAATGAGAGCACTAAATGAAACTTGAGACATATTATGGATCACTTGAAGGAAAAAGAAGTTCTAGGGAATATTTTAATGTGAGTTATTATGTTCATGAAGATAAATACTACTCCTTGTCAGTAGAATAAAATATATTTTAATTAGCATTTTTGCTACTGGAGAGAATTTCAAACTTACTGCTTAAGTGTTGGTGAAATCTTACATTTTTCCTTAGAAGGATATTGTGAATGAACTTTTTTCTTTGAAATTTGGCAACAACTAACGAATGTTTAAACGTTGCGTGAGAAACCCAGAGATTTCAGGAAATGTGAATCTTTTTTTTTTTTTTTTTTGTCGGTCGTGGGGCTTGAACTCTGGGCCTGTATGCTGTCTCTCAGCTCTTCAGCTCAAGGCAGCGCCACTTCCGGTTTTCTGGTGGTTTATTGGAGATAGGAGTCTCACAGTCTCTCCTGCCCGGGCTGGCTTTGAACCGCGATCCTCAGATCTCAGCCTCCTGAGTAGCTAGGATTACAGGCGTGAGCCACCAGCGCCCAGCAAATGTGAATCTTTGAAGTGTTACCTGTTGTGTCATAGTTTTCATTTACCTATCATTTCACAATAGTTTATTTGTATTCTAGTTTGCTTTGCAGACTTAGCTTCTACAATCTGTTTTGTTTTTGTTTCTTTTTTTTTTTTTTTTTGGGTCCGGTCGTGGGGCCTGAACTCTGGGGCTGGGTGCTGTCCCTCAGCTCTTCAGCTCAAGGCTAGCACTCTACCACTGGAGCCACAGCGCCACTTCCGGCTTTTTTCTTTTTGCTTATGTGGTGCTGAGGAATCGAACCCAGGGCCTCAGGCATATAAGGCAAGTGCTCTACCACTGAGCCACCTTCCCAGCCCTTTGTTTTGTTTCTTAAAGAAAGGAAAACAGCATTTCTTAGGTATAATTGATGATAAAGTGCTCATCTTGTGTGTCTGTACTGGGCTTGAACTTAGAGCCTCACCTCTTGCTTGGGTCCTTGACTCAAGGGTATTACTCTATTACAAAACCCAAGCCTCCACTCTGGTTTTTTGTTCTTTAATTGGAGGTAAGAGCCTTAAGAATTTGTCTGCTCAGACCGGTTTTGAACTCAGTTCTCACATCTCAGCCCACCCAAATACCTAGACTTATATTTTAGTACTAGGGGAAGTGGAGCTGTGGCTCAAGTGGTAGTGCTAGTTTTGAGCAAAAAAAAAAAAAGCTCAGAGAAAGCACACACAGGTCCTGAGTTCAAGCTCCAGGACTGGCACATACACAAAAATTTCTCTTACATATAAGTTGTCACATTTATTGGTGTAAAGTTTTTATAATATTCTCTACTATGCTTTTGAATATTGTGAGACCTATAGCAATGCTATCTCTTCAATTCCTGATATTGGTGTTTTATGTCTTCACATTGATCAATACCGCTGAGCCTTGATTGCCATCATAGAATGCTGAATTCCAAAACACGGATTTAGCAGATGGGTTCATGTTAAACGAGTGAGTTCCTGAGTTAGTAATACAAGATATTATGATTAGGGGGAATAGGATAAAGGGTACATGGAAACTTTTTGTGATTCTTTTTTTTTTGGTCATGGGGCTTGAACTCTGGGCCTGGGCGCTGTCCCTCAGCTCTTCAGCTCAAGGCTGTCAGTCTACCACTTGAGCCACAGCGCCACTTTCAGTTTTCTGGTGGTAAATTGGAAATAAGCCTCACAGACTTTCCTGCTTGGGCTGACTTTGAACCAACTTCCTCAGATCTCAGCCTCCTGGTTGCTAGGATTACAGGCGTGAGCCACTGACAACCCAACTTTTTATGAATCTTAAAATACTAAAATATAGGAAGGTTATAGTAAGACAGAATTATTTGATTGTTGGGACTTGTACAAAGGAGAAAGTAGACAAATGTTTTAATCTACCTCATATTTGAGCTGTCTGGGACCTTTGTTTCCCAGGGTTGCATATGTAATAACTCTTGCAGTATCTTTTAACTGTTTTTTAGTTTTGAAAATGTAACATGCAAGATTGTTTTAAGCTTTTTGTTTTTCTTTCTAGAGTTTCAAAACTTTTGATAGTTTGCTATTATATATATAGGCTTTTGTGCACTTAGCAATACTTAATGCTAGAAGTATTGGGAAATATTTGTTTTACTATTTAATTTTCTTTTCTTCACAGCTTTACCTTTAGTCCAAGTGGATGAAAAGGGGGAAAAAGTAAGGCCAAATCAAAACCGCTGTATAGTGATACTTCGTGAAATATCTGAATCTACCCCTGTAGAAGTAAGTCATTTTTCTTCTCATAAGTACTTGGTCATTTTCCTGAGAGTTTTTTGTTATTTTTTTTATTTTATTAGGTCTGCATTGTATAGAAGGTATAAAATAATGATAATACTTTCCCTAGGGTTTGCCCACTGACAATTACACTGTGATTCATTTGTAAGGGGAAATGACTCATACCTTTGGTGTGAGGACAGCTCTCCACCAAAAGCTAGTGAGGGTTTGTATGTTTCAATACCTAGCAGTTAAGTATTCATTAAGAAAAAAGAACAAACCCCAAAATTAAGATAAAGGAGATTTTTTTTTGTCATGGTAAATTTTTATAAAAGGGCATTGTATATCCCCATGCTGCTGATCACATGCATGGTGTATATGTGTACACCGTTATATGTTATAGACCGTGATAGACAATTTGCTCTGGGAAAGTTAGAATGAGCTTGTGACTTTAAATGAGCACCATTATTCCACAATACTGTGAAATTTGGGAAATTATGTAATCACTTAATCACAATTAAAAAAAAAAACCTCGGGGAGGGAAGGGATAGTAGGGGGAAAACAATGGAGGGGGTAAAAATGCTCAATAGGAAGTGTACTCATTACCTTACTCATGTAACTGTAACCCTCTGTATAGTATCTTTACAATAAAAAATTAAAAATAAAAAAAGGGCATTGTAATTAGAACAGCAGCTTCCTACTTTGGAGTTTTTCAAAGAATCCAGTCAAGTTGGTTAGTCTTTTATTTCCTGTCTGGTGTGATTTCACATGAAGTCATTCAAAGGAAAGTCATTCCTATTTGAAAATAGAAATTAGCATTTCTGTTTTGTCCCAATAGAATAGTGTGATAGTTTGTTAAGGAAAATATTTGTAAAATGTAGCAATTGTCAGGATTCCAACAAGGATGTACCCAGGGAAAGAAATCATGATCTTGTTCTAGAGTTTACTGTTGATTCAATACAAGATATATTTCCTAATTCTACATTGCTATGTAGAAAAATTAAATACTATGCCTTTTCCTTTGTAATTTTAATAAGATTCTGAATAATTTATTAATTTAGATGTTTTTATTCAAGATAATTTGGACATATATCCTAATTTTCACGACTTAAAAATGTACAAAGTGTACACCCAAGTAGAATTTTCTACATTTAGTTACAAATTTCTTAGTATAAAAACTAAATAGATTGGGTATGTAGTAAAACTTGAACAACACAAGTCTTAAGAGAAAAGGTTCAGAGAAAATCTCATGAAATTGAAATATAAAGGAAAGGAAATAGTCCAAAGCAATCTGAATAAGAAAATTAAGGAACTATGTTTCCAGGGACTCTATGTTGCAGGACCCATCTACTTGGGCTTAAAAGAACTGGATAGGAGGGGATGTGGACAGAAGGGAACCTTACTGCATTGTTGGTTTGAGTGTAAACTTGTTCAACCACTTTGGAAAGCAGTATGGAGGTTCCTCAAAAGACTCCACATCGAGCTCCCCTATGACCCAGCAATCCCACTTTTGGGCATTTACCCAAATGATCACAAACAAGGCCACACTAAAGCTACCAGCATGACTATGTTTATTGCAGCATTATTTACCATAGCTAAGATATGGAACCAACCAAGATGCCCCTCAGTAAATGAATGGATCAAGAAAATGTGGTATCTATAGACAATGGAATTCTATGCCTCCATCAGAAAGAATGACATTGCCCATTTGTTAGGAAATGGAAAGACTTGGAAAAAAATTATATAAGTGAAGTAAAGCCAGGCGCAAAGAAACATGGTTTCCCTTATTTGCAATAACTAGTATATGTCTGAGTCAAGCAGAAAAAGTCAGATAAGTGATGTTAGGGAAATGAACCCTAAGATATGTATTCAAATGTTTTTTTTTCTTTTGTGCGATTGTTTCTAATACATTTATAAGATTATTTCTTTGTTGCTTTGTATGTCCCTCCCTCATGGTATAACCCCTGCTTTCACTGTATTTGAGGTTGGTATAATTTGTGGAGGGGAAGGGAAAAAACAAATCGTTTAAATAGGGATACAGGTGGATCCATTGCAACAATGAGATGTACAAGTCGATATGTGGGGAAAATGAGCTTTGCAACTTTGGGGGGTGGGGGAGGACAGGAAGGGGAAACAAAGGAGGAGGTTACAATGCTTGATAAGCAATGTACTCATTATCTTGCCCATGCAATTGTAAGCCCTCTGTACAGTATTTTCACAATTAAAAAAAAAGAACTAGATAGAAGTTTCTAGACACTTCTGTAGTTCTTGAATGTAACCACATGTTTGTCAGTGGTCAGAAAGAATATCTTAAATATTGACCTAAGTTTTGTAAAATAGTTTAGAGTCTCTGGAAGCAGGGACAGAAAGTTAAACTATTCTTCTAGATTATCAGTCTCAGAGCATTGAAGGTTCATTTGAATTTAAAGTACTAATACTAACTAGTCAAGTTCAGCTTCTGAATTTGATGTATTGTTTTCTCTTTTGGCAGAACTAGAATTGAACTCAGGATCTTGTGCTTGCTAGGCAGACACTACACCACTTGTGTCATGCCCCCCACCCACCCATTTTGCCATGGTTATTTTTCAAATGTGGTCTCAGGTTTATTCCTGGACCAGCCTGAACCATGGTGCTCCTTTGTTTTTTTTCAGTTGAACTAAGAGATCTTCTCAACTTTTTGCCCAGGCTGGTCTCTAGCTACTCCCAGTCTCTACCCCCTGGTAGCAAGGATTATAGGCAGGCACCATCTCATTTTACTTTACTCAGTACTGAGTATTTTTGTATCGTTGCAAATTTTCATATGTTTGGCTTTGAGGGGTAGTTTGGATACTTGATGGGAACACAGTTTTTCAGGAGTCTGAGACATAAGTTCAAGGCCACCATGAGCAAAAGAACAAGATCCCTTTTCCAAAAAAAGTTTCTTGGAACCAGTTTGATCATTAAGGATTATTTGTTGGATGGAGTCAGGGCAGCCTTTCCTCTAAGGTTCATTTTCCCCATTGTTAAGGCAATACCTTTCTAATCATTCTATGTCATGTCCTTTGAATATAGGAAATTTTTTATTCTGGCAGAGAAACCATTCTCTGCCCCTCCCTCTCCCTCTTTCTTTCCCCCTCCCCCCTCTCTTTCTGGGGTTGTTCATTTTAATCATTTTGGATGATTGTTTCTGTGTCAGGCCAAAGACCTGAGAGCTAGAGGCTCTATGAATTCTGGAGCTTCTACATACTTAGTCTGAAAACTACTGGTTACTCTCTGTAGCATGTTACACTCTGTTTTAAAGGTGGGTTTTTAATTGTTGAAGATAAAAAGTGGCATAGAGGAAATTAATTTCTTATTTCTATTTTCCATAGGAAGTAGAAGCACTATTTAAAGGAGATAATTTACCAAAATTTATAAACTGTGAATTTGCCTACAATGATAATTGGTTTATTACATTTGAAACAGAAGCTGATGCACAACAGGTAAGTTATTTCCTTCATCGCCTATGAAGTACATGGTTCACAAATGTTTGATATTAGTACATAGTGAAAATAAGGCTGAGTACTCCGATTATCATGTTCACTTTGAATATAAAGAAGAGAGAAAATTGAGTTATAGAAACTTAGATATGTTTTTATAGATAGCTTCTGTAGCAATATAGAAAAGTAAGACATTACTTTGTAAGGGCATTTTAAGAGAATAAGCCTATATATGGGCAGAGAAAGGCTTTACTGTTTGAAAGTGGGGAAATAATCTTTTAGAGGGCATCATTTGTCCAGCAAGGTATCTTTAAGGTATGGAAGGAAAACTTCTTGAGGATATCAAAGAAGGGAAGGGTACTTGTCTCATTGCTCTTGAAGGAAGCATCTTGTTTGGGGGAAACAAATGGACAAGTATGACGTATTAAATGGTGCAAAAGGGAGGTTCAGAAGAGAAAACTCAAAAACCTGGGAAACAGGTTCTAATTGAATAGAAGGGGACAGGCTGAATAAGAGGTGAGAAGAACTGCTTGTGGAGCAGTGTGCGCATGGCTGACCTGCCTAGTGAATATTGTTGGACACATACTCAGTTTAACAGGGGCTTGATAAAAATAAGGAATGACTTGAACACTTAAGTCCACATCTTTTTCTGTTCCTATTTAGTGTTACCTGAACTGCATAATTCCAATTTCATATTGGGATTAGTACTAATACTCAGTATTCATTGTTACATCCTACATCAGCATTCTTAGCCTGTATATGTGGGAGGGTTTTCTGATTTATTAGTACTTACAAAATTACATACAAATCTTATGAGATTTTGTGTAAACATTCCATAGCACGGAAGAAGTTATTTTAGGGGATTTGTGGCCCAAAGAGAACCACAATTCTTTATTTGAATTATGGAGTTAACTATCAGTTTATCTTATTTACAAGATTAACAGAATGATATTTTGGGTGATTTTTCCCTTAGGCTTACAGGTATCTTCGAGAAGAAGTCAAAACTTTTCAAGGAAAACCAATTAAGGTAAGCAGTTGATTATGCCTTCTTTAATATCTAATCAATGTTCCTAAGTATTTTACTAGTAATACAAATGTTTTCAAACAGGCACGGATAAAAGCAAAGGCAATAGCTATAAACACATTTTTGCCAAAGAATGGATTTAGACCTCTGGACATGAACCTTTATACACAGCAGCGTTATACAACATCATTTTATTTACCTCCAGTATACAGTCCCCAGCAGCAGTTTCCTCTGTACAGCCTGATTGCCCCCCAGACGTGGTCAGCAACACATAGCTACCTTGATCCACCCTTGGTAAGCTGCTTTTTGTTTTGCTTTACAGATGTTTATATTGCAGACACTGTACTAGACATTTAGAAAATTTTAAATTGTAGTCTAGTAGAAAAACCATACATTTATTCAGTTTGCTCTAGCAAAAGAAATCTTCATCTTATGCTATGGAGTTTCCATGTAGTTGGATAATAAAGACAGCTGTAGGCATCAAAAAAAAAAGTAGTAATTGCCCTTGAAATTGAGAAGATGGATTCCTATACTGGAGGTCTGCATGGTAATTTTTTTGTTGGAATAAGAGAGGTAGATAAGTAGAATTGACAAGTGAGTATGGTCAGAAAGCAGAAATTGAGGGGTACAGATATAACTCAGAGGTGGAGTCCCACCTAGTGCACAAAGCCCTATATTTGACCCAGAGGAAGAGGAAAAAGCAGAAATTGCAGTAGTAACTTTGAGAAGAGTCTGTAGATTTCATATTAAGGATATAGCTGTGGGCTAGAATAGGGAAGATGGAGGGTACTCAGGGTAAGATGGCTGGGAGCCAGGCACCAGTCACATAGGTGTTGTCACTCACTGGCAAAAAACTGGACATGGGAACTTGAGAACAGTGTTGATTAATTTTGAATTGCTGGTATCTGTTATATTCTAAAAACTAAAGATAAATGTCCATCAAAAAATTCAGGCTAGAAAAGAAATACAAGGAGTTAATGATTGGGAAAAGTAGACCAAAAATAAATAAATAAATAGGTAGTTTATCAGGCATTGTATTGTTTTGTCACTTACGTCAAACTTTCAGGTTACATACAAGTTTATGAAAAGAGTTCAAAAAGAATAAAACTTCATATAAAAAATAGGAACACCCTGGGTGCCAGTGGCTCACACCTGTCATCTTAGCTACTCAGGAGGCTGAGATCAGAGGATCAAGGTTCAGAGCCAACCCAGGCAGGAAAGCCCATGAGACTCTTACCTCTAATAAACCTTGGAAATGGTGCTATGGTTCTAGTGGTAGAATGCTCTCCTTGAGCTAAAGAGCTGAGGGACCTTGTTCAGGCCCAGCTTTCAAGCCCCACAACCGACCAAAAAAGAAAAACAGGAATTCTTACAGGTCAGATTTTTTTCTTAGTACTGAGATTTGAACTCAGTGGCATGTACTCATTCACCTTGCTTTGTTCTCTTGGTGCTTTACCACATAATCCATGCCTTCAGCCCAGATTTTTGCTGGTTAATTGAAGATAGAATCTCACAAGACTTTTCTTGCTTAAAACTTCCATCATCTAGGACTCAGCCTCTCAGTAGCTAGTATTACAGGTATGAGTTGCTGAGACCCAGGTCAGATCAATTTTTGTCTCTGATCTGTAACCTGAAAGGTTTGACTTCAGTGACATTTTTAAAATAGTTGAACAGTGTTTAAAATTGTTTCATATTTTTAACCTTTTAAGATTATATCTAATTTTCTTCTGATTCTTGTCAGTGTATTTATATGCTAAATGACAGATTAAATTATGACATGGGAAATGATTATTAGTGATCTGAAAATGTGCTCAGAACAGGGCTTGTATGGAGGTAGAGGTTAAAAAATAGTTCTCCTAAAGACAGGTAATAAAGTAAGCAACGTCAACAATAAATCAAATGTTCTAGCTAGGTACTGGTTGTTCACACCTGTAGCCAGTCAAGAGGCGGCGATCTGAAGGATTGAGATTGAAAGCCAACCTGAGCTAAAAAAGTCTGTGAGAAATAATGAGCAAAAAGCTGGGCTAGAGGCAGGGCTCAATTGCTATTTGCCAGCATACCAAGCAAGCATGAGGCCTTGGCTAACTAGTACCACTTCAAAAAAAAAAGTTCCTAAGAGAATTTTGATGAATTTTATTTAAATTTACTTATTTTGGCAGGGGGGTGGAGGAGTAGTTATTTGGAGATGAGAATTTCAGTTTTGGCTGGCTTGGCTGGCTTTGAACTTGCTAAAGGCTCACCCCTATAATCCTAGCTACTTGGGAGGCTGAGATCTGAGGATCCTGGTTCAAAGCCAGCCCAGCAAGAAGGCCTGTGAGACTCTTTAACAATACTAAACTACTCAGAAAAGGCTGGAAGTGACACTGAGGGAAGTAGTAGAGTAAAGGAAGCTCAGGAATAGCACAGACCCTGGGTTCAAGCCCCAGGACCAGCGCACAGGTACATAAACACACACAAATTGTTTATGATTTACCAGAATGAAGGTAGTGTTACTCTAGTGATCTTTAGGCTATGCATTTGGACCTTTTTAACAATGCCTGTGTTCAGGACCCAATGTGATCTTGAGCAAAGTTCTATCCTTGTAATGTCTTCATTGGGCTATTATAAGGATTAGCTGAGATGATAGAGAAAAGGTTCTTAGCACAACTTGATGGTTGTGGATGCTCAGCAAGCATATACCTGTAGCAGTAGTTTTTGGATGTTTTTCTTAGCTGCAGTTTTTTCTTCTTTTCTTTCTTTTTTTTTTTTTTGCTGCTCCTGGGGCTTGAACTCAGGGCCTAGGCACTATCCCTGACCTTCTTTTGCTCAAGGCTAGCACCCTACCACTTGAGCCACAGTAACACTTCTGGCTTTTTCTTTGTACATGGTACTGAGAAATCGAGCCCAGGGCTTCATGAATGTTAGGCAAGCACTCTACCACTAAGCCACATTCCCAGCCACCTGCAGTTGTTTTTATATATTTTGATAGACCACAATATCTGACAAGAGGAAGAAATGAACGAGGTTACCCCAAAATGCAATAGTATTGACCAACTTGTCATGTTTCATGGTATTTACAACTGTTTGTTAATCAATCTAGGTAACTCCGTTTCCAAGTACTGGATTTATAAATGGGTTTACATCACCAACCTTCAAACCTACAACATCCCCTCTGACGTCACTCAGACAGTATCCGCCTAGAAGCAGGCAAGTGCTAAGAGTGATCACATGCGCCGTAACTTCATGTTGCTATTTTTCTGGTTATTTATAATAAGAGCTGTAATTTTACTACTAGTAATGCTCATCAGAGGTGAAACTGTTTGAAATATACAACTTTAGTCTTTACAGATTAAACACCAGTATCTCTTGCCTACCTAAACAAATAGATTCTCTTCAGATTCAACTTGTACCTTATATACCTACCTTTTAACTTGAACCTTGGCTTATAAATAGTAAACCTTACAAACAGGACTTTGACTTATGTATTATCCTAAATGGTATATGTCAGTTATTCTAAATATAACATTTTTATATTCAACACAAAGCAGATTTTTAGCCTAAATATTTCATATTATCATACTCTATTTGGTTATATGTTATTTACAGGAATCCTAGTAAATCTCATCTACGCCACGCGATTCCCAGTGCAGAGAGAGGACCAGGACTACTAGAGAGTCCTTCCATATTTAACTTTACTGCAGATCGACTAATTAATGGTGTCCGGAGTCCACAGACGAGGCAAGCAGGGCAAGCTAGAACACGGATACAAAACCCTTCTACTTATGCCAAGAGAGATGTTGGAACTGGGCGTGTGGAACCAAGTAGTCTTGAATCCTCTCCTGGTTTAGGAAGAGGAAGGTAAGTAGTTCATCTGTTCTGTTGAACAGATACTACGTACCTATTGTAACTAAATATTTTTAGCTCTCTGTAGGTGTATTTTAGGATTGTTTTCTAATACACCTCAAAAAGTCAAAAGCTATAAACATAAGAGGTTTTATATAATTACTGTGAGTGGTTGCTATTTAGAAATAGTTGCATTTTTCTTGGAGTATCCACTTCTAAACATCTATTTGTGTAGATACTTGATTCCTTCTCTTGAATCACAGTTGTTCCCGGTGGTGTCTTGAAGGATGAGTCTTTTCCAGGAGGCGCTCAGTTCACTTGCCTATTAGGCATCACTTATCCATACCTGTCAGAGGAGTCACTGTCTATGGCAGATAGGAAATCTACTTCTTAAGACTTGAAGCCAAGCACCAGTGGCTCACACCTGTAATCCTATCTATTCAGGAGGCTGAGGATCATGGTTTGAAGCTAGCCCAGGCAGGAAAGTCCATGAGACTCATATCCAATTAGGCACCAGAATAGCCAGAAGTGGAGCTGTGGCTCACTTCTCACATGTTGAAGCTAACTCTCCAACATGTGTCTGGCCAGTCAGGGATAGCATACTACTTCCACAGTCCTTCATTCTGAACTGGATCATAAAGCCAGGGTTGATATGCAATTTCCTTTTCACTGGGTGCCAAAGGCTCTGTAGCAAGGAGTTAGACCTTTCTCTTTAGGGGTGTAAGACTTGCTGACAAACCACCTGCATGCAGAGTGGTGAGGATGAGGGGCAGACTGGTATAACAATGATTCTGCACCATGGTGCTGTGACTTCTCTGCCTATAGAGCCATACTGTGTCCTGTGTTGTGGTTATAATCTAGGACCCATCTCTGTTCTGTAGCCATGTCTTTGCAAAGGTGGTCACTTTGTCAGGGTAAGCAAAGAGTCTTACAAGATCTACTGATGGCAGAGCTGATAGGATCCCATAGCAATCAGATGTCATCAGGACACTGTGTTTCCCATGAAGTGTTGGGTCTGCTGACATCAGCTGTATAGTGGTAATGAGTACACTATCCACAGCAAAGGGCTGTCCATAAGTATAGTCTGTGTGTAAAGTCCTCTCCTGTGGACAGCAGCCTCAACACAAATATCCTACACACCTCTCCCACTTATCACCACACCTTGAGTCCTGTTCCTTCCAGGCTTTCATCCAGATAGATCTGTGGCCTCTTCTGAGGCCATAGGTGTGGATGGAAAGCACAGAAGACTGATCATCAAGGGGCCAAGTAACCTGTTCTACCAGGTGGTGGAACATGGCCAACATCACAGCTACTCACCCATGATGGATAGCTCAAGTCTGTGATTACTGGATAATCCCATGGTCTAGTGTTTAGTTTCTAGTAAGCCTCAGCCAAAAGTCAGAGGAGTTGTTTCTGGGATGGTCTCCTACAGGACAGATTAGATTTTCCACTGGAGACAGCCTGGCTTTCCTATGGAATGCTAAGGGTCTATGTCACACTTCTCAATTGCCAAGTTGAATTCACATGTGACTTGTTAAAACCATATAAATCCATGCAGTGCTGTGTAACACCTTCCTGTGGCCTGTAGAGTGCTTGTATTAGAAATCATGAACACTTACAAAGAAGGCAAGTGTAGGTATAGACAGCTGTTGGGATTGGGAAGTTTTATGTGCTTATGTGATAAAAGGTAAGCTACAGTAGCATAAAGCTGTGAAAGAGGAAGGGGAAACAAATTGAGATCTACTACATTTTAGTGATGAGAAAATAAATATCCATCTGATACACTTTACTATCATTTTACATAACTTATCTATATAGTTTGGTGTCTGGTTTTACATCTACATCTTTTCATCTACATCTAAATGGCTAGTCAATCAATCCTATCTTTGTAATTCCAAGTATCTACTAAGTAAGTTTTTTGTTGTGGTTCATTTTTTTGGTAGTTCCGGGGTTTGAACTCATGGCCTTGGCACTTGCTAGGGTGACTTGATACCACTGAGCCATGATTCCAGCCTTCCTTTTTAGAATAGGGTATTGCTTCTCACCTGGGTATGTGCCTGAGGCAATCTACCCAGGCCTGCACTACCATATCTAACTCCCCCTGTAAAGCCCAAGTCTTGTGAAATTTTCTGCCCAGGCTAGTCTGGTATATAACCCCTCCCAATCTCAGTCTCCTGTGTAACTCGGGGTGACATGTATGCTATCAGGTGAGAAGGGTCTCTAAATTTTCTTCCATTTTAAAATGATGTTCATCCCTTTCTTTTATCTATATGGGCATCAGTTTAAATTCTTTTCTTTCAACTTCTTATGTTTAGCTTATCCTTGTTGGACTTCTAGAATTGAAATTCATCTTTGAAGGCTGGGTGCCAGGAGCCCACACCTGTAATCCTAGCTACTCAGGGGGCTGAGATCTGAGGATCATAGTTAGAAGCCAGACTAGTTAAGATAGTCTAGTCTGTGAACCTCTTATTTCCGGTTAACCCAAAAAGTTGGATGTGGAGTTGTGGTAGAGCACTAGCCTTGAAGGGGAGGAGTCGGGGGAAAGACTCAGAGACAGTGCCCAGGCCCTGAGTTCAAACCCAGGGCTGACACCATCAAAAAAAAAAAATCATCTTTGAAAGATTACAAAGTAAGGACCAAATTGATGCATGCTTTGAATATATAAGCACAGACTTGTGGTTAGTTAAATTTTCTTTTTTTTTTTGTCGGTTGTGGGGCTTGAACTCTGGGCTTGTGCACTGTCCCTCAGCTCTTCAGCTCAAGGCGAGCGCTCTACCACTTGAGCCACAGCGCCACTTCCAGTTTTCTGGTGGTTTATTGGAGATAGGAGTCTCATGGTCTTTCCTGCCCGGACTGGCTTTGAACCGCGATCCTCAGATCTCAGCCTCCTGAGTAGCTAGGAGTACAGGCGTGAGCCACCAGCGCCCGGCTTGGTTAGTTAAATTTTCTGAGTTAGAAAAATATAATGGTCTTTTTCTTTCTCCTTCTAGGAAAAATTCCTTTGGGTATCGGAAAAAAAGAGAAGAGAAGTTTACAGTGAGTACATAGGCCTATGTCATTTTCACAAAGATGTTTAAATCTAATAGTATACAAATGTGAGTTAATTACATGGATTGAGAAGGAGCATTTCAAAACCTTTTTGGTGACCTAAAAAGATTGTGGAGGATTTTAGAAATACCCATAGCTAGCTAGCTTTTGCACAGATATTTATGGCATGAAACGGATGCAACCGAGAGCTTACGCTTGCAGGTACTACTTGTGTGTGAGTCCAGAAAAATTCTTCAGTGTGTCTAGGTTTATGGTAGAATTTAAAACCCAACAGCATCCCATGGGGATACATTTTGTTACTCCTTCCTAATGGATACCAGAACCCTTGGGTGATACTGGGCCCTGAATTTCAACACTTGTGCCTTGTGGTTGCTGTGCTAGGGTGTCACCATTTGGGCCAGGCCTAGGCCTCTGTTCTTTACCAGTTACAGGCCTGGCTTCCTGCCTGGGGCACATCCCTGAGCCACAGTCTTATCTACTTCAGCTTCCCATTATTACTGGGATCACACAGGCAAACCTTCACATCCAATTTCCCTCCTTTAAAGAACAGAGCCTTGAGGACTTTCCTACCTGGTCTGGCCTTGAACTGAAGTTCTCCCAAACCTGCCCTCAGGTAGCAAGGATTACAAGTGAGAGCAACCATTGCCCAGCTCCTTTCCATCTTCACCAAGCTCTGAGCACACACTGTTGGTAACTTCTATGTAGAGCACAAATTTGGTTTCAATCCTTTGCAATTTCATGAAAAAAATATTTATTCTGAGCAACTCAGCATGAAAGTGGAGAGCTTTTTCATCTAGAGGAAACTTTGGTTTTTCTTTCCCTTACCTTAATTGCCAGCATAACTACATCTGTGCCTGGGGATCATTATTAAGTAAATAAATGTTACTTGAAGCCGGCCGCTAATGGTTTACACCTGTAATCCTAGCTACTAAGGGGGCCAGCCCACGCAGGAAAGTCCGTGAAACTCTTATCTCCAATAAACCACCGGAAAACCGGAAGTGGCACTGTAGGTCAGTCAAGTGGTAGAGCGCTAACCTTGAGCTGAAGATTGAAGGATAGCACTCAGGCCCAGAGTTCAAGCCCCAGGACTGACCCCCCCCCCAAAAAAAAACAACAGAAAAAAACATTATTTGAATATAGCACTGTGATACCACAGTTGACTCTAAGATGGCTTTCGGTGAATAATAGGTGGGTAGCATTTATAGTGTGGATTCACTGTGCAAAGGGATGGTTCTCATGTCCCGGTAGGACAGCTGAGAGTGCAGCATTTCACCACACCACTCAGAATCCCACATAGCTAAAAACTTATGGACGGTGCTTTTTAGAATTCCCTGTAATATTTTAGGCCATAAGTAATGAAACTATAGAAAGTAAAATGGCCCAAATGGGGATAATCAGAATAAAGCTTCTTCCTTGCAGAAATTTGTTCAAAAAATTTTTTTTTGATCATTCAAAATATTTAATCAGAAGTGGCACTGTGGCTCAAAGTGGTAGAGTGCTAGCTTGAGCACAAAAGCTCAGGGATAGCACCCAGGTCCTAGTTCAAGCCCTACAACTGACAAAAAAAAAAAAAAAAAGAAGCTATGCCCCAAAATATGTTTTCATCCATCCAGTATATAAACCAAGTAGTAATGTATTCTGCTATAATTTACAAAGAAGACAGACAAAAAATAAGTAATTCATTTGTGTATTAAGTATATGAGTTGTCATTTTGCTTGTATTGATTAAACAGTATCTCCTGAGGAAAATGCTAGTTTGTTCTGGCTTTAATAGAGGCTAGGACTTTGCAGCATCAGGGTTGTGAGAATAGTTGCAGAGTTGATAGTGTGCACTGACGTTTAAGGACTTAGCAGGTCTAGAATTACATGTGTGACAACCAGAGAAGACCTTGAGGAAATTCTTGGCTCAGCAGTCCCAAGCAATCCCATAGATATGCTTTCCTATCACTAGAAATGTGTTCTAGATTGTTTTAGAACTCAGAAATTCTCTATTTAATAATGTCAGCTAAATTTGGCATACCATTAATTAGTTCCATTTGTAATTAGTGGTCCCTATATGTAAATAGTGTCCCAGTTAGTCCAATGGATATTTGCATATCCATCGTGATAGGTACTGATCTGCTGGGCCTGTCCTGAAGCAACTGCTGTTAGTTTGGGTTCATTTTGCTTTGTCTTCCTGATTAACATGTTTGTATTTGTAGAACACTTAGAAGTTCTGGAATGACCTGAAAATTTTAAAGACAAGCAAAAAAGCGTATAAAAGACATTCAACTCTTTAAAAATATTTAACCCTGCCTTTAAAGTCAAACCCTATTTGCAGGCTTTGTCATCTTACAATTCTAATATATTGCCTACCGTGGCTCCTAAAAAACTAACATAGAAGGCTTAATCTGAAAATCTCTTTTCACCTCAGAAACATGTAGATGTTTACAACCTCTAAGACTTGCTTTGAAGTCACAATGTCTGTACATCACTGGGTTATTTTGAGTATCTGTCATTATTCTAGATTACAAGAAGAGCACAATAGCAGTGGTTAGTAAGTGTAAACTTGTTCCTGAGGGCACACAGCTGGGTGAAATTAAACTAAAAGGGGGCTGGGAAGGTGGCTCAGTGGTAGAGCGCTTGCCTTGCATGCATGAGGCCCTGGGTTCAATTCCTCAGCACCACATAAGCAAAAAGAAAAAAGACGGAAGTGGCGCTGTGGCTCAAGTGGTAGAGCGCTAGCCTTGAGCTGAAGAGCTGAGGGACAGCGCCCAGGCCCAGAGTTCAGGCCCCACAACTGGACACCCCCCCAAAAAAAAAAGAAACAAAAAAGCAAAAAGAAATTAAACTAAAAATAGGTATCTGTGTCACTCTTGAGGCTTAAACAGAAAGGCTTTCCAAAATAGTCTGATTTTTTTGTTGTTGTTGTTAATTTGGATCCATTTTCATTCCTTAACTTGCTCTTGCTCAAACTCTTACGTATTTTTTTCTTTCTTTTTTGTTGGTTGTGGGGCTTGATCTCTGGGCCTGGGCACTGTCCCTCAGCTCTTCAGCTCAAGGTGAACACTCTACCACTTGAGCCATAGCACCACTTCCAGTTTTCTGGTGGTTAATTGGAGATAAGAGTCTCACAGACATTCCTGCCCGGGCTGGCTTTGAATCATGATCCTCAGATCTCAGCCTCCTGAGTAGCCAGGATTACAGGCATGAGCCACCAGTGCCCAGCTTTGACGCATTTATTCTAGACTCCTCACATAGGGTATCCTGTTGTAATAAATTTCTGGGAAATGTTAAACCATGTAAAGTTAGGTATGGAGTTCCTATATCCTAGGAATTCACACCCATTGTTTGTTTAGTGACTTTTTTCAGGCCAGTATTGGGAGTCAAGACTCCTTGCTTAGCGCTTGTGCTGTCTTTCTCTTTCCACCTTGTATGACTTTTGGGGTGTCATTCTGTTTTAGAGCAGCCAGACTCAGTCTCCAACTCCACCAAAGCCACCATCACCAACCTTCGAACTCGGGTTGTCTAACTTTCCCCCGTTACCTGGAGCTGCTGGCAATTTGAAGACAGAGGACTTGTTTGAAAACAGGCTATCTAGTTTGATAATAGGATCGTCAAAAGAACGAGTAAGATAAATACAATTCTCATATTGCTAGTATTTTCTAAGCATTGGTTTTGTGTTTTTAAATTCAGATTTACACCAATTACTTGTTACCTTTTCAAAATCACAATTTAAATATATCATTCTGTAAGCTAAACGAGAATGGACTTGTATGAAGTAGTTACTGTACTTAGAGAGTCACTGGTTAGTCAGAAGATCTGGGTTTGTTCAGATATAAGACCTTGGGCAGATTATGTTCTAGGCTGTAGTTTCCCTACCTAATAATTTGGGATTAGTAACACACCTGCTTCCAAGGGATATTGTGAATTCAGGAAAACTGCTGTCTGTTGCTACCACTTGCCACAAGGTATTCAAACTGATGCAGGTATGGAGATGTCTTTTGATTTGTTTTGGTTAGAAGTCATAGTGAACTGCGTTTGGAACTCCATACCTAGCAAATATTGAGTATTACATGCCAGGCTCTATGGAATCGTGATGAGTAAGTTGTATTTGATAGACACTTTTTCAGAAAACAAGCTTGCAGATGTAGTGGAAATGTAGAAGAGAGCCCAGGTCACAAGACCAGTTTTACATTTGTTAAAGCAAGAAGGCAGAGGACCAATGAGACCTTGCTGGAGTAGATTGTGTTCTGTGTCTTTATTCTGAGACTTGGCAGTTTGTCATGTGTTTCCACTTGTCTCTGTGCCTCTGGGGTAAGGTAGTCACAGTTCCTTTGAGCACTCCTGTGCCTTCACAGGCTCTGCAGATATGTGTGATAATGTTTAGACTTACATTAAGTAGACTGTAACCTCCTTTAGCAAAGATCTGATGAGAGACTCTTTACCTTATCATAAATTTGACTTTGACGATTTTCAGAGCCTCAGTACAGATGCAAGTACAAATACCATTCCTGCTATGGTCCCCAGAGAGCCCTCTCTGCCAGCTTCCTGTGCTGTGTCAGCAGTGTACGAACAATCCCCATCCCCCGCCCATTTGCCTGAGTGAGTATTGCTCCTCCACCGCTGCTCTGCTATGTGCTCACTGGACTGGCCTCACCTCTAATGTTGCGTGAGACCCACTGTGTGCTCACTGGACTGGCCTGTCAGGTTGCCTGAGACCCACTGTGTGCTCACTGGACTGGCCTGTCAGGTTGCTTGAGACCCA